AACTAGATGAGCATGGCTGCCTTCTGCCTCTCAACAATGCCGCAAAAGCATTTATGCACAGCTTCAGACTTTATGTGAACAACTGAATTCTCAACTGATTAATTCCACCATTGTCTATGACGATATATATTCCATCAAGTATGACCTGATTGCCAATGCGTCGAATTACGGTATGGTCGGTTCTTACCACTTGTGTTCCGTTTATATTTGTGTCAAATTTGAAACTGATAATGGCATGTTGTGGCTATGGGGGTCCTCCGTACAACTACAACGCGGATCTCACTTGCGGTTGAACCGGATACTACGTCTGCCATGAAGGATCGAAGTTCATAAGCTGGGATGGAGTTGACTACACCGAAGCCGCCAATGCCGTCTTTGCTTCCAAGATTCTTTCCTTTAATTACTCCACTCCTCGAGTCAACTTCAACTTCTTCTGTAATAAAATGTGAGTTCTGCTTCAGAGTTTTACTTAGCAAATTAATTGAGGTGTATGCTCTATTTATAGTAAGATTATCAGCTTCTTTCAATATCAAAAAACATATACAGATTTCGTTAAGGCTTGAGGCCCATAATTCAAAGAGTTGTCCATATCGTTAAAATTGTGACCTTTACCAAATGTAAAGGTTTAATTCAACAACCATCCTTAAAATAATTTTATCATCTAATTCTAATGGGTAAGACATACTTTATATTTATAAAAAGAAAAATAAATTCGATTACGAAGAATTCTTCCTCTATAAGATTTTTTATTTAAATAAACTTAATCACTAAATAATTTTTAATCACTACAATTACGATTAAACTCAAATTAATTATCAATTATAATTTAAGTCAAGAAACAACAATCTCCTTCTTAATACAAATTCAATTAAAAAAATCAACTTTTAAAGTTTTCAAACTCTTATATAAAAAGAGATAGAATAGGGTAAAAGTTCCACAAGTCTTCCATTTTCACAAGCAAAGGCGAAGCTCGGTTAAAAAGCAAAGTCTTGGTTCTCTAAAATGGTAAAATTACAAGTTTAATCCATTTAAATTTTAAAATAGGATAATAATAATAATAATATTGTATTTTGAATCTCAGACCTTCAAGTAATAAATTTTTTAATTGAATCATTTTAAAAATAATAAAATTACAGGTTAAAGTAACACTAAAATTATATTTTAACCCTTAAAAATGGAATCCACCCCCCCCCCCCCGAAATATTCATCAACTTTCCACCACCAAAAAGGTAAATGCAAAGTCAATATGATGAGCAAGTTTGTCTTGGTTGCAGTGCTAATTCTTTCAGCATGTAGCAAACTAATGGTTTAATATGAAATGAAGTATATGCATGAAAATATCTGTTCACTTCGGGGAGGAGAAAGGGTTCCCAAACTTTTACCGATACCAACAAGAACTAATAAACACTTGAGTACAGTTGTCCTCAAATCTGAAGCAACAAACAAAACAGAACCCTTGGTTTTCCCGGGTGAAGTAATTCCATCAGATCTGAAACATTTTCTCTCTAAATTACCATTGATTTCATTTCAAAACAGAAGCATTCATCTAGCTTAACTTAACCAGGAGAGTCGAGATGGAGATCATAATAATAATTAAGATCAACAATATAATACAATATCAAACTCCATTGATTTTTTGAACAAGAAAATTAAACTGCAGCCGAAGAAAGGGTGAGATTCAGATCCAAACCATCGTCTTCTTCCTGTTTCTTCTCGTATGGAGTTGGAAAGACGATGAGTTGCCTTCGAAACTCGATCTCTGCAGTGAAATCTTCCCATTCAAATCTCGGAACCCAACTCGGTCGCTCATCGTCGCCCAATTTAATTGTCTTGTTTTTCTTCATCTTCTTGCTCATCTCCTCCTCCTCATCTCTCTGTTTCAGCTCGTGTTTTCGCTTATTACGTGCCTCCCGAAAGTTCCTTAACAGAGCAAAAAACTGCTCCATTTTCTCATCTTCTTGATCCTCACGATCGTCTTCACCATCCGAAACACGATTTCTCTCCTCCGTCGCCATCTCAAAAGGAAAAAAATAGCGGGAAAAAACTTGCAGGAGTTTTTTCTGATGTTTCTTCGCTGCTGAAGAGTTGGTTCGAATTTGTACTCCTATTTATACAAAGGGGGAACAAGCAAATTAAGCGGTCAGGGTCAGCTCAAGAAAGACCAACCTGCCCCGACGGCGCCAAACCCGTCTTGCGTAATCAAGGCCGGAGGGGTATGAAAATAAAACGAGAGTACGACGTGTGAAATCATGAGCTGCGTCACTAACTGACGTGGAAGGGGATGCCGATTGCATGTCCACGTCGGGGGTCGAGAGGATGATGACGTAACCCCGATTGCGCAATATACTAGAGCTCGGACTTAATTAACTTTAAAATCAACCCAGACCTTAAGACTCCTGTTAGTATAAAGGATGCAAAATATGAATGGTAAAAATTTTGTTAATTAAATTGTTTATATTCATAATCATATTTTTACTTTAAAGCTTGGTCATTGGATTAATAAAATTGTCTTCTTAAGCTTTTATGTCTTTCTTAACACGTAAAAAATAATTAAATGATAGAATCAGGAGATCAAATTTTATGTAAAATAAATAATTTTCAGATTAAAAGTGTTTTAATTTTATATTAAAGTGTTGAATTTTAAAAATTAAAAGCTGAATTTTTTTTAGTTTTTAACAATGGGAAGATGTAAAGCATACTCAGAATGGGCACATGGCCACACTGGAATGTAAATTTATTTATATTAGTAGTTCATTTTACTGTGGGTGTCATCCCGTACAAAAAATTCAATAATTAATATGTGCATGTCCACCCTAAAAAATATTTCTACATCCGCCCCTACTGAGAATGACTTCATACCTAAAATGTTGATCATAGTCGACGTGATTATGAAATTAAAAAGGTTTATATTCTTGTATATAGCAGTGTCTCTCATCCTTACTCTTCTAGATTTATATCTACTACTGTACGTATTATTTTCGAATACTAACGTCGTTTAAAATAAACTCCACAACAAGAGTTTAAGTTGAATTTCTATCTGCTTTTAGCAACTGGATATGAAAAAAAATATTGGTATAGATTTACTTACACAGGAATTTGTGGACATAAAAAAATGAAATATTCTATTTTGATTAAGTTGGATGTATATTTATTAATTTTAAAATTATTTCAGCAATAGTACTGTTTTATTTTATTGGATTCGATTAAAATTTATTGTTTATCAACTATTTTTTCATCCTTATTGTCACTATCATAGTCAGGAATTTAAATAGCGTTTCTAGTCGTGTTTTCAGTCACGTTACATTTATCGTGGTTGCGGATATAACAGATGTCATCGCGGTCACTACGGGTGCCGTGGTCGTGAATTTTTTAAAATTTTACACAACTTATCTTAAAACACAATAATTATAATTATAAAGAGTTATTTTAAATAATTTTTAAAATGTTTTACATGCGAAAAATAAATATATATATATATATATAATATAGTTTAACCAAATAGAAGACTTTAAAAACCCGGAAATAGGATAAAATAATTAATATGATATTGTGAGTATATTATTATTTAAATTATTGAAATTATGAGTAAATTAAATAAAAATTAAAGTTTATATTTTATATTAAAGATTAAATTCTAAATTCTAAAAAGTAGGAAAATGACAAATTAATATATCCTTTCAAAATATATTTTAAAACTGATTTTAGAAAAATGAGAAATGGGAGTTTAAGTGGAACGACCCAAACATATACTCTATTTTTTTTAATTGAAAACCCAATCATATAGAAAAATCTGGAAGCTCTCTGATTCTCTCCAAGTCTCAAGTGTATCAAATTGTCTTGTTCTCCTTTGTTCAGTAAGAATATTTACTCTCTCTCTACTTGTTTCTTGAGCTTTTCCTTTTTTATAAGAAAAAAAGGTTCGAGGATGAGATGATCTTATCAATCAACTTTTATTGGGTCTTGGTAACCAATGCTCATACAGGTACATACAGTCCTAACCTTTCATTTTTCAGAGAACTGAAAACTCTATCGAGCTCGATTTCGTCGAGTGGTCGTCCATGTTAATCAGTGGTGGCTACCTTTTGTTTGGCGACGGTGAATGCAAAAAAATAAATCATCTTTCTAAAGTTTTTTTGTAGTACCGATAGAATAACATTAATAGTGTTTCATTATCGTCGCTATACGTTGTTATCCGTTAAAATTGCAGATGCGATAGAACGCTATCAACGTGATTTTGTTATCCACCGCTAAAATAGTCAATATCGGTTTCAGATGGTTGTGCCACCACGAAATAGCAACCGCTATAACGTTTGCGTTCCGCTATTTGAAACTCTAACCATATCGATTAGCAAATGCTAAGGTAAATAAACTTTTATGATCAAAACTAAACCCAAAAAATTATATTGTGTTTAGGATAGTTTTAATATAATATTATTGAATGGTTTTTGTGTAGAAAAAATATTATTTTTCTTAGATGACTTTTGAATAGTTATATCAGTAAGATATATATACGCTATCAATAATTAAAAAATAATAATTAAATATTACTTTATAATAACATCAAACTAATAAAAAATATTTTATCATCCTAAAAATATTATATCATCCTAAAAAGTAGAAATAAATGTTATTGTTGAGAATCAAGGGGATGTTGTTGTTGATTCTGTTAGCATGCCTAATTCTTCCTTGGCTGAGGAAGTGGCTTAACAAGTGTTGTAGGAGGATTTAAGAGCAGGGAAGGAGTTTCCCCCTTTGCAGGAGTCCATGATCCAAAAAAAGAAGACTAGAGGCAGGAAAAAGGAAAATGTTAGCTCCTATAGTAAGCTTGATATGTTAGCTGGTGGAGGTGTTATGGATGGCCAGAGGAAAGCTAGGGTGGCTTCCATGGATGTTGATGTTTTGCTCAATGAAATTAAGTCCAAGAAGAGGGACCTAGTGGATAAAGCCAAAGGCATTGGGAGTGTGGGGGTTGGTAGTGGTGTTGACCCTACTGTTACTTGATGTTGGTAAGTTTCTGGATTGTGAGAGGGATTAATAACCCTCTCAAGCAATTTAAGGTGTTAAGGAGGCTGGTTACTTTGGAAGCTGATGTTGTGTGTCTTTTGGAAACTAGGATTAGGAGGATCAATGCTGGTAAGTTCATCTCTTCTTTCTCCAATGACTGGAATATGGTTGGAAATTATGAGTCTATTGAGGGTGGCAGAATTTGGATTTTGTGGAAGAAACAGTGGTCTTTTATTGTCTTAAGGGTTAGTGATCAATCCCTAACTATAGCTGGTAGTGTCAATGGTCACAGGACTCTGATCACTATTGTTTATGGTAGTAATAGCAGGACAGTCAGGAGAGGGTTATGGGATCAGCTAAAATACCTGGAAAGGGAGGTTGGCTCTGCTCCATGGGTGGTTGAAGGAGATTTTAATGCTATCCTCAGAGCTGAGGAGAGCTCTGATTTTGAGACTCTTAGTATCTACAACTCTCCTGGTATGAAGGATTTCCAAGGCTGCTTGGAGGACTTAGATCTTTTGGACCACCCTTTTCTAGGTCCTTTATTTACTTGGACTAATAAACATGATGAGGGGTTCTTAGCTCGAAAGCTGGATAGAATTTTGGTTAATCCTGGTTGGTTGTTTGTTTTCCCTGATTCTTTTGCTGAATTTAAGGCACAGGGTGTTTCTAACAACTGTCTTCGTGTGATTTGGACTCAAAGCCTTGGCTAGGAGACCGAAACCATTTAAATTTTTTAACTGTTGGACCTCAAGTGCAGACTTCTTGAATATTGTAAAAGAGTCTTGGTTGGAGCACTGTAATGGTAACCCTTTGCAAAGGCTTTTCACAAAGATGAAAAGATTAAAGCCTAAATTGAAGGACCTAAACAATGAGCAGTACTCTGATATTTCAAAAAGAGTTCTCTGCAAAAGAGCTGAGCTGGAAAGGATCCAACTGAGGAACTTGAGTCATGCTGATCTGAGGAACATTGATGAGGAGAGAACTGTTCATGCTGAGTTAGCGGATTTGGAGGTTGCAGAATCTGATTTTTATAGAAAAAGGGCAAATGTACATTGGCTTAAAGAATGTGACCTTAAAACCAGGTTTTTCATCAAAGAGTTGAATCAAATAAAAAGAAGAACACCATAAAACTTTAGAGACTAAGAATAGATAGTTTTTGGACTCATTTGATGACATGGCTGCTGAGTTAGTGAATTTCTTCATTAATCGCATTGGGACAGTTGATCCCTTGGTTAGATGTCCTTCTGTGGCAGATCTGAGGGGCTTGTTAAACTTCTCCCTGGCTGCTGGTGCTGAAGATATGCTTACAAGGGAGGTTGATGATAAGGAAATTAAGGATGCCTTGTTTAGGCAAGGTAATGGGAAAAGCCCTGGTCCTGATGGTTACTCTTCTTGGTTCTTCAAGGCTGCATGGGAAGTGGTTGGCAGTGATTTTTTAGCTGCAGTAAGGTTTTTCTTTCATTCCTCTTCCTTGTTGCCAGCTTTTAATGCAACTACTATTGTTTTAGTCCCAAAGTCCTTGAATGCTTGTAGGGGCTAAAGACTTTAGACCTATTTCTTGTTGCTCGGTGGTATACAAGACCATCACTAGGATCATTACTACTAGGTTATCTCTCTTTTTCCCTGGCATGATCTCTCCTAGCCAAACGACATTTGTAAAGGGTAGGAATATTGTTGATAACACATTATTAGCTCAGGAAATAGTCAAAGGTTACTCTAGGAAGAGCCTTTCTCCTAGGTGTGCCATCAAGATTGACTTGCTAAAAGCTTTTGATTATGTGAACTGGGAGTTTTTTATGGTTGTTCTTGAGGCTATAGGTTTGCCTTTGAAGTTTTGTAGTTGGATAAAGGTTTGTGCCACTTCCACTAAATTTTCAGTTTCCTTGAATGGAAGCCTAGTTGGTTATTTTAATGGTGCTAGAGGGGTTAGGCAGGGGGACCCTTTATCCCTATACCTCTTTGTATTGGTGATGAATGTCCTTTCTTCTTTACTGGATGTCTCTGCCAAGAATGGGATTTTTAAATATCATCCAAAGTGTAAGAGAATCTCCCTCACCCACCTTTGCTTTGCTGATGATTTGTTGGTGTTATGTTATGGTTCTATGGATTCTGTTATGGGTGTTTTGAGCACTTTGGAGGCTTTCTATAAGCTTTCTGGTCTGAGGCTTAATGTTCAGAAAATTGAGATCTATGCTTGTGGTTTATCTGAGCTGTTCTTGAGCAAATTTAGGTTGGTACAGGATTTAGAGTTGGGCAACTCCCTGTAAAGTACCTTGGGTACCTTTGGTGACCAGAAAGCTTACTGGAAAAGACTGCTCTGCTTTGGTGACAAAGATTAAGGATAAACTCAGTAAGTAGTCCAATAAGAAACTGAGTTTTGGTGGCAGGCTGTAACTCGTCAAATCTGTCTTGTTCAGTGTTTTCAGCTATTGGAGCAGGCAGCTTATTCTGCCAAAAGGGGTTATCAGGGATGTTGAGAAATTATGTATGAGGTTTTTCTGGAAAGGGTGTGACTCCCCAGCTCGAGGAGCTAGGGTTAATTGGAGCCAAATCTGTTTCCTGAAATCTGAGAGAGGTTTGGGGTAGGAGTTTGGTTGATTGGAGTAAGGCTTGTTGCTTATTGCTAATGAAGAAAATCCTAGCAGGAGAGGGCTCTCTCTGGAACGCTTGGGGTGAATTTCTACTGCCTTAGATCAGTAGATTTCTGGAATGCTGAATATAAGGCTCATTTCAGTTAGATCCTAGCAAAGTTATTCAAAATGAGGAGTGGAACTAGGAGGGTATTTGGCTCCAGTAGTAATTGGGACCAAATCAATGCTAGATGGATATGGGATAACATTCGGAATAGGTGTGAGAAGGTATGTTGGCACCGCCTGGTGTGGTTTCCTGGCCATATCCCAAAGTTCTCGCTGATCTCATGGATGGAAATCTTAGACAGACTGCCCACAAAGGACAGGCTTTCTAGATTTGGTGTAGTAACGGACAGAGGTTGTGGTATGTGCAGCTCTGGTCTTGAATCTCGCGACCATCTCTTTTCTGACTGTGCATACACAAAGGAAATCTGGACTGCTATTCTTCTTTCCTGTGGTCTTTCTCAGGCACCCCTCGACTGGAATGGCTCTCTCCAGTGGTTGTTGCTTAACCTTAAGGGTAAATCTCTGCTGGTGCATATTCTCAAGCTGGCTTAGACTGGATTCATCTACTACATATGGGAGGAACGAAATTGCAGACATTTTGGAGGATCTCATCGCTTGGTTGGAGTTGTTGTTAGTTGTATCAAAGAATCTGTTAGAATCAAATTACATAGAAGTCATATGAATAGAATTGATGCTGTAAATAGGGAACTGTGTATAGATTGGGGATTGGTGTAATGTCTTTAAGATTATGTTTTGTAACAGCAATTGCTGCCTCCCTTTTTGGATGAATGAAATTTTTACTTATCTAAAAAAAAAACAATTGCTACTACATCTACATTTACGATTAATGTCGCCATATTAATTATAATTAACGTAAATACAAGTAACGAGGAAAATGCTTAGACAAATAACATGTGAAGCCGTGAAGGGTTGATGATAATTTCTCACCTTTAAGCGTGGAACATTCAGTTCATCCAATCACTCTATTTTGATGTACCAACAGTTTCATCCCTCTGCAGTGAAAGGGTAAGGTCCAACTCTTCTTTAACCTCCTCTTTCCGGTCATTGCCCTCTTTGTTTTGCGAAGTACTGGCGAAGCTCATATGAGGCTCCTCCTTATTATCGGCCTCATCCATGAAATCTTCACGTTGAAATGAGGGGTTCCACGCTACAGCTTGCTTCTCTCGATCTTCTTCAAGCTTTCGCTTCATGGTTTCGCCCTGATCATTTGCTGCTGCTGCTGTTGATAAGACGTTGTTTGAGATCAAACGATCACGAGCCTCACGAATGTTGTTGATGAGAGCGTAGAATTTCTCCATACTTCCATTATCCTCGTTGGTTCCTGGTATACAAATAGAAAAATCTATTTTTTATTAAATACACAATTGAAAAATTCATCAAAACGAGGTCGAGCTATTACAACCATAAACATTACTTTTGTGATAAACAAATTACTTTTACAAGTACAAAAAGGCTCAATCTCTCACGGATAAAGATAATATCGCTATGAAGTTTTTGATAAATAAAATCACTTTTCATCGATATGTATTATATTGAATATGTCAACAAATAAATGATTTATGATGAGAGTACCTGACTGAAACATTGATAAGCAAAATTTTAGCCTGGCTCTTTTGTTTGCATCAGTCAAATAAGACTTTATAGCATGAGTGTGTGGCTTGATGAAACCTTCCTTAGCTCGACGATGAAGAGTAGCTTTCCACATGTCTAAAGTTTTGAACGTCGAACAAATATTAATCAGTCTACGAAGTGAAACTTTTAAGATATGATATATATCTAGAGAAATTCTTTTATTTGTAAAAATTCTTTGAAGACATATACTACCCGCATCCACCCTCATAACTTGATGCTCCACATACATTTTTACTCTATTCCACAATCTGCTTACGGTTCTTGTTGAGACTGAAAATATAACCACAGTCCGACTTACAGAACTTTTTGATAACTCTCCACTATTGTTATTTTACAAAATTTTCAAATAAAGCTTGACCTCCATTTTACTCGATTATCTTTTTGGTTGTCTTCTATTTGTTGTTATTGGAAAAGACTCCATTATAACATGCATATCCTCTTAATCCATCATAAAAGATAATGGGAGTTTTTATAACTAATGGTTCAAAGTAAAATAAGGGTTTGACAATTTCAAAAGGGGAAAAATGGTGGTTTGACTTTATAAAGAAGTTGATATTTTGGTCTAAAAAATGACGGAAAAGATTACAAGGAGTGGCCCGAAAGTTGGTGCTAAAATCTTGGCAAAATTTTTTAAGCTAAAAAATAAATAAAAGATTGTATATTTGGCGCCATTTATTTGACTGGGTTAAAAGCTTATGACTGTTTCTTACTATAAACAAATACGTGATGTCTTAAGGGGTAAGTTTGTCATTTCATTTATTTTATACTCCATTTAACGAGAAATTATTTAATAGACTTGGCTCATTATGTCATTTGTGGTGAGAGTGAATGAGAGCCATAAATTTTAAAAGAACTTCTAAATAACTACATATTTTTTTATTTACATGTAGGAAATATGTGAAGATTCATCTTAGAAAAAAAATAATATGGACAAATATTATTGATTGAGATCACAAATGACGTGATAAGTTAGGACTATATAATAATTTTTCTCATTTGACATATGGTCAATTAAACTCTAACCTTATGTGTACAATCAATATCATGCTCAAAATATGAAACAGAGGGAGTAATAATATTTTTTTGATTTTATTATTATACTTAATTTATAGATTAATTAATTTAGATCAAGTATTATAAAATTTTATTAATTATAAAATTAGCATTTAATTTTAAATTATAAGACGACCCAATCACATTTAAGATTAGAATTCTACGTTGTCATCATTAAATTTCAAAACAAAAGTATTCAAAATGTTTGATGATACATATTACAATTTTCATATAATTTATATATTTTTATTAAGGCTTAATGCTCAAATAAGTTTCCAAACTATACCCTTTTATCAAATAATTTTTTTAGCCTATTCGGGTGTCTGACGTTACAAATGTTACAACTTTAGGTACTCTGGCTGTCGACGACGTTAGTTTTTCTCGTTAAGTGACATGTGTCACAATTTGATAATTTTGAAATTTGTGTTTTAAAAAAATATTAAAAATATTATTCTATTTATAAAAAAATCTAACTTTTCTTATATTATAAAACAACCCCAAAATTTCAAATCATAACCTTAATCCGCCGTTGCCGCCCTCTCCAACTACGACCACCGCCTCCGATGTAGTTCTTTCCATCATCCTAATTATATATCGTCATAGTTGTTGTTGATTCACCATCAGAATTGCATGGGATCACGATTTTCATCCTAGGGTTCGCGGGATTTAAAACGTCATCAATCAGTTGTCAATGGGTCAAGATTTCATAGGGGTTTTGGTCGTCGAGGAGGGAGAGGTCGGGTGGAGCTTCTTCGACGGCAAAAGGTGACGGTCGGCGTGTGTTTAGGGGTTGAAATAAAGGTTTTCAAAGTTTAGGGGTTACTTCAAAATTTATATATTTTTTCTTATTATATACTAAAATTATCAAATTGTGACACATGTCACTTAACGGGAAAAACTAACGTTGTTGACGGCCTGGGCACCTAAAGTGCTAACGTTTGTAATGTTAGACATCCGGATGAGAAAAAATGTAAGCACTTATTTGACACAAAATGTATAGTTTTGGGAACTTATTTGGGTTAAGCCTTTTATTAATAATTAATACTATTTAAAAATCAAAACTTATATAATTATAATTTCTACTATCAAATATGATGTGCAAAATAATATAACATTATTTTATATGTCTCATTAAATATGTCTATTGTTATTTTTTAGTAAACTTCTTTTTAACTTTGACTCATTATTATTTAAAATTTATTATTGATAAAATATATAATCATGAACAAATTTTAAAAATTTTGACTTTTCAAAAGTCAATAACGAAGGAATTATTTTTTTATAATTATAAAAAAGTATAGTTACTACTATGATAGTTATAATTTCATATAATTATTCTATAAAGTTTGCATATAAAAAGGGTAAACTATACTAGTGACCATCTAACTATAGTCACTTTTCATTTTGACCATTATTTTTGAATTTTTCTCAATCGGGTCACCAAACTATTTAAATGCATTCAATCAAGTCACTTACCGTTAACAGTTAAAAGAAGTGTTGACGTGACAATTAATAAAATTTGTATAATTACACATTGGATCCTCAATATTTATACATTCTTTCAATTTGGTCATAATTTTAATTTGATTTAATAAATTTAACCTCCAATTACATGGTGAAGTGTGTTACTACCATATTAAGGCATATATTATTAATTTTAATTATTTAATTTAATTTACTTTGTATCCAATCAGGTGATGAGATGTATCACTAAATTTAAATATAATAATAATTATTTTTAATAATATATCACCACCTGATTTTATTTACTTTAATCACATTAAAAATTTATGTTATCAATAAAAAATATTTCAAAAGCAGTTACTACGTGAAATATGGATTGAACAAATTAAAATTACAGACTTTTTATGAAGTAGAGAGATGGACGATGGTGGTCGGGGTGTGAAGAGTAAATTTGAAGGGGGAGGGATGACATTTACACAATCATCAGAGCAGAGGATAAACATGACGCATGCATCATGACACCATGCATTTCGTAGACTCACTGATGGAGCCTCCCGCCGCTGGTTTTGCTGGAGTCTATGTTCCTTTTGAAATGCTTTTGTTATTTTATTATCATTTCATGCCGAATTGTCAACATCCCCCGCTCTGCTCTTTACATGCCACTTCTCAATTGACTTAGGACATGGATTATGTTATTTAACAGATGTTTGTTTCTCCATTTTTAGGTATTTTAAGGGCAAAATTTATAGTATAATGATATGGATAAAAAAATTCCTCAAATAATGATCTATCGGAATTATTTATTCAAATAATACGTTTGCTGCAGTACAATCTTAACTCGCATGGAATATTATGCGACACACCTAAGTCACATGATCTGCCATGCGACACCTACCTAAGTCGCACTAATCACCATGCGACACCCACCTAACATGCAGTGGTAGATGCAAAGTATCTTCAGGGTCTGAAATCTGCATTTTTTTATATTAAATATTCATTTTATTATGAGTGCTTACTTTAAAATTTTCTTTGTGTCTACCCTATCAAAAACTTCAATAATTAATATATGTGTTTACTCTCAAAAGTATTTTTGGATTGGTCACTACTAGCATGGTTCACCATGAGTTTTCCATGCATTTTCCAGGCACGGCTCACGTAAATCACTAATTTTAAATAAATAAAAAATAAATCTTAACTAATTAAAATCATAAATGATAAATCAAATCAAATCAAACACATTAAAATAATAATTAAATAAAATTAAACCGAAATCCAAACCAAAAATTACAATGTAAACCAACTTTAATTTTTTATCAATATTTTTACTGGGTCTTAATTTTGTATTTCATAAATGCATATAGATAGATAAATGGATTGCAATG